GATATCATCCTATGTATTTTTTTCAGATACATTCTTTACCTTTAGAAGTAAAATTTGAGTTGGTTTTCTATTTTCTATGTCTCTCTTTCAGCTTTTACATTCTTCTTTTTACCTTCTTGAACATAAGTATATATTTTTTAAAGCCATTTTAATATCCTTGTCTGCCAATTCTATGATCTGTGTTTCTATGTAAGCCTTTATCTTGTCATTACAGGTTATATTTTCCTGGTCTACATGCCTTGTAATATTTTATTGGATTTCAGATTTTGCAAATTTTATCTTTTTGGGCATGGGATATATTTGTACTCCTTTAATTATTTTTGATACTTGCTCTGAGTTGCAGTAAAGACACTTGGAAACAGTTTGATCCTTTCAAAGCTTGATTTTAAGCTTTCTTGCATGGGACCAGAATGAACTTTAAACTAAGGCTAATTTGGCTCCACTACTGAGGCAATCCTCTTCTGAGTACTTAGTCTAATGCCAAGTTTATTATGAAGTTTCTTCTCTCTGGCTATTGGAAAACCCCGCTATTTCCAGCCCTGTGTGAGCTCTAGAAAGCACTCCACCTACTCTTTTTGAGTCATTCTTTCTCTAGCCTTGTGTAGTTTCCTCACATGCAAGTGCTGATCAGTATTCAGTGAAAGATTTGAGGGCTACCCTTTACAGATCCTCCAGAATTCTCTCTCTGGGTAGCTCCTCTCCGGTACATTATCTTGCAAATTCTAGGCACCCCTACCTCCCTGAAACCTGAATTCTCTCTCCTCAATTAAAGCAGACTTCCAGACTCAGCCTGTTGTAAACACACTGTAAAATTTTGTGAGGACCTAGCCCTTGTTCTAGCAGGCAGGCGAGCAAAGCCATCCTCACAGGCCTCACCTTGTATGCTGAGCAGAGGTAAAGTCAGTCTTTTTAGATTAAAAAAAAAAAAAAGATTTAACAATGGGGACACAGCATTTCCATCTCTGCACTGTATCCTTTAGCAAGGAAAAAAATTCAATCTTGTGGTGCCTCCTCCAGCATCAACATAGCTTTAGGTCAGTGTGACTTAGAACTAGAAGTCCCATCAAAAAAATTATATTCTTAAAGTCAGTGACTCACTATTCCTAGCTATATAAACTAAATTTAAACTTTTACTATTGGAACTGCTCTTACAGAGTAAAATACGTGGGACTGCTTCCAGGGTTCGCATCATCACTTTGATTATCTAATAAATTCTATGTCTAACTATCCTTGAGACTTTATTTTCAGTTAACACTGTTCTCAGCTTGGAAACTCTCTCTAGGTACCAAACTGGGATACTTTTAGGATTTACCTCATTTGTTTCCCTTTTCTCAAGGCTCACTGTTTTGTTTTTCTTTTTTTTTTTTTTAATATGTGACAATTGCTTCCTGTATTTTGTCTACATTTTAGTTTGTTAAGATAGAAGGGTAAGTCCAGTCCCTTGCTTTCATAACTAGACAGAAACCCAACTTTCAGATTTTAAATATTTGGGTTGGATTATTTGGGGGGGGGCGGTTAACAATATCCAGGTAGAAGGGAGATATAATCAATAGTCACAAACTGACTAAAGATCCTTAGAGATTACCTAACACTTCCCCTGCCTCGTTTGGTGGATTAACTAGAACTTAGATCAGAGAGAATGGGAACTTCCCAAAGCCACACAACAAGTTAGCCACAGAATTGGGGCTAGAAATCAGGTAGTACACTCTTCATTTTTAAACTATCCAGTTGCTTTCTGCAGATTTTCTCTTCCAAGTCATTTTATCTTGATAAGCTTAGCTCTGAAATCCAGATCTTCTGTCCTACCCAAGCTCACAGAGTGGACTATATTAGCTTACACCCAGATGGTACTTAATTTTGTTTCAGTTTTGCAAACACAACCTCCAGAGTTGGCCCAAAGTGAGTATCTGAGTAGTTCATAGCACTGAAAAATTTAAAACACTCCCATGGGCAAGCACTTCAGAACAAAACCATGTATTTTTTCCCCATTGAATTATTATGAACTTGTTAAGCAGGAAGGAGTGTGACTTAGAATTTAGATCGACTAATTTAGTCATTTCACCACCTATGGGAACACATATCCTACCAAAAAAAAAAAGCCATTATCACTGCAACTGTATTTGTCTTCCCACACCTCTAGCAATTTACCTGGATTCAAACATTTATTCTGGACTGGGTTTCTGGGAGTCTTTCTGTCTTTCTCTTGACCCTTCCCTGAAGCAGCCTAGGAAATGCCCCTGCTTTGGAGTCAGGTGGAACAGGTTTTACTTTGAGCTCTAACACTTACTTGCCACGTGCCCCTGGGCATGGCATTTAACCTCTCTGTGAGGACAGGGATGGCACGGTCACACACTGATTGTAAAGCACATGCGCTTTTTTTCTTTTCTCGTATTTTTGTATCATCGAAAACAAGTGCATATTGCTAGCAGTGCTGCGATGGTTACATTTGCAGCTCTTTCCCCCCTTAATGTTATAGAATGTCTTTGAGTCTAAAAATACTATATTAATCTCTAACTTGCAGAGTTTCCTCCAAGATTAAATAGGATAAAGCATGCATTGGGTTTGGTACACAGAAGGGCACAAGGACTCTTGCACCCCATTTTTACTGGAGCCAATGCCTGGCAGGGTCATTGCCTCTGACTACCCTCAGTTGGCAGGTACATGGGATAGTCTGATGAGGGGAACAAGTCTGGGAAGTCCAGGCTGGCATGCAGCTGGCTGGCTGGTCTTGCAGCATGTGATTGTCATCAGCCCTAGAGCCCTTTCTAGTACCTTCTAGTCCTCCAGCCCTAAACCATCGATACCATTGGCCCCATCATATCTCTGCTGCTTTAGAATTATGGAGACAGGAAAATGGACTAAATGACTTCTTAAGCCATCATCCCAGATTTTCCCTCTCATCCCAAAGAACCTCTCTAGAATCTCAGGAGGCTTGTCAGTTAAAAGACTCTCCTAAGGTCATCAGAATCCATGTCCTAGGGTCTGAAGTCAAAAACATATTCCCCAAAGCCCCCCACATACCTCCAATTAGGATGCAGTTATTTGCACACCTTTGAAATTCAAGGACACCAACTCTGCTTCTGCTAGAGAGAGAAAGAAGAAACAGACACCAGAGGATTAACAACTCTCAAACCCTCCCCTGTGTAGCCTTCCTTTCTTTCCCCCCAAAGCATCCTTGGCTTTTTACTGTCTCCTGCAGGCAAACAGGTCTCAGTGGCAGAGGCCTCGTCCTACCCAGGCTGTTCTGCTCCCATCATCCCCCTCAGCACCCAGAGGTGCAACTGCAGATCCCATGAGCCTGTCTTTCTAAGGCACCCACCTAGCACATGTACCTAGAGGTTTTCTCCCTGTCCCCCTGCTGGGTCCCAGCAGTCCAGGGAGTTCTCAGGACCTCTGTGGAAAGAAGGAAAGGGCAGCACAAACTGGCCTGGCCATTGTCTTTGGGCACTTACGGAAGATTGACTGCCCCGCAAGCAATTTGGAAGTCTTAAACCTGAGTGAACTCCTGCTTGACAGTATGAGCCACCCAGGATCCTGCACCATGGCCTGCATGAGGCTAGGAATGAATAACTGTGAGCGATTATCATGGGAACTGTCTCCAGGAAAAACGACCAGCTTTATACCATTCAACCTTGAGAAGATAAAAATCAGGCTTAACAGAAAAAAAAAAAAAAGAATGATTTATAGCAAATGTAGGCTTGAAATCCAAAAAGCATCCCAGAGCCCAATTGTAACCCTGCCTTATGGCCCTGTCCAGGAGGTGTGGGGTGTAGTGTGTGTGTGTGGGGGGGGTCAGCTCCATTCAGGCATGGCCACTTCAGAATCTTGTGCTCATCCTTGACCCTTCCCCATACCACGTTGCCCTTATCCCTCTCCACTGCCAAGTTCGCCTGTCTGTGAGGCTCTGCTCAGCTCCTTCTGGGTGACCTGCCAAGACCCTCTTTGTTTACTGACACAGGCTCTTTTCTGCTCTTTCTCCAATCAACACCTCTCCCACCTCTACCCCATTCCTGGGGTTCTAAGAGGCCACACTGCCTGGAGTGAAACCTCAGTGAACAATCACCTGCTTTATTCAGCAAGACTGATCTCTCCCAAACACATAGCTCTTATCACTGTTACGATTGGATGGTGGGAACATGGGGGTTTATTTTTTCATTTTCTTGACATTTGTGCATGTTTGAAAATGTTCATAATAAAACAAATCCTCTATGGCCCTCCAGGGATCTGAGGATAAAGTCTAAAGTCCCCAGACAGGCGCTCGACATCCGCCAGGATCTGTCCCTACCCCCTTTCTTCAGTTCACCTTCTGGCACTCACCGTGCTGCAGTCTCCTTTGGCACCCAGCTCTCTCCTGCAGCCCCATCTTTGCAGGGACATCGCCTTCCTGCAGAACATGCTTGCCCCTCTGTCCAGCCTTGGGGAAAAACAAACTGTTTCCTTATCCCTGGAAACCAAATGCAAATGACCCTTGGTTCGGAGCACCTTGGAGCCCCGAAGGTTTCCTCCGGAGGAAGGGGTGCCTTGTGCCCCGGTGTCTGTCCCGCTGTGATCCACCTGCTATGTGCTTGGGAGACGTCAGTCTCCGTGAATAAAGCAGGTGCAATATTCACTCGGACAAGTGGGTAATCTCTCGTGGTTTCTACTTCTGTCTCTATAGAATGAAGATAACAGCAGTACTCATCTGACAAGGTGGGGTATTCTCTGTGAAGCAGCTTAACACAGTACCTGGCGGAATGAGAGAGAGAGAGAGAGAGAGAGAGAGAGAGAGAGAGAGAGAGAGACTGACAGACTTCAATCAAATAATACAGTGGATCATTAAGCGGCTTGTCTTGGATGAAATGCTCCCCGAGCCTACAGGCAAGGAACCGCTGTTTAGCTCTTGCTAGGAGCGAGAGAAAATTGTGGAAGATCGGTGACATCAAAGTCACGATTCCGTTGTCGGACCCGGCGGCGGCTCAGACTTCAGCCGGGCGGGGGCGGGGCGGCGGGGTCTTCCCAGGTCAGGGCCCGAGAGCCCGGTTCCCGAGACTTCCGAAGGACCCGGCGGCCCTGTGGCCGCGACCCGGCCCGCCGGCTGGGGCTCCGCAGGCCAGGGGCGGGCGCGGAACCCGCCCGGCGGAGGCGAGGACTCGGCCATCTCGAGCCGCCCGGGCGGGGCGGCGGGGGAGAGCAGCGGAGGAGCGGGCGGCTCGCCGGCCCCCCGCCCGCCAGCCCCGCGGCTCCGGGCGCCCGCCGCCTCGTGCGTCACCGGCGCGGGCGGGGGCCGAGGGAGGGGGCGCCACCAGGTGAGGGCCCCGCGCCGCCTTAAGACGCCGCGCGCCCCCGCCGCCGCTCAGAGCTCGCTGCGCCGCGCGCCGGCCGGACGTGCGGGCACAGGCGCCCCGCTCCAGCCGCCGCCCCGCCGCCGCGCCCGCCGCGCCACAGCCCGGACGAGCGGCCCGTCCCCGGGGACCGGCTCCCGCAGCAACAGGTAAGCGGCCCCGCTCGGCGCTGCGTCGCCGTCCCCGCGCCCTGCCCGCCCCGCCGGCGCTCGGGCACCCGGGAGGCCCCGCGCGCGGCGCCCCGACGGCAGCGGCTCCACCCGCGCACAGCCGGCCCCGCGGCCCCGGCGCCCTCCCCCGCCGCCCGCGGCCGGCGCCCGGGCCCTCGCGCTTTCTCCCGGGCGATCGCGCCCCACCTCGCGCCCCACTCTCCGCTCCCTTCTTCCTTGCTCGCATCCCCTGCGTCCCGCTCTGCGTTCCCAGCCTCCCTCCCGTGCGTCTGCCTCCAGCGCTCCCCAACTCTCACGCCCGTCCGCGCTCCTCCTGGCTCACGCTGCCTGGGCCGGCCGGGCTCCTTCGTCGTGGCCTCGGCTCTCCCTCCCCGTCGTTTCTCTCTGGCTCCGCGTCTCTCATTCCGCCTGTCTCTTGGCGGCTCCTCTGCCTCGCAGTGTTTTTCTCTCCTGCTCTCGCTGTCTCGCAGACTCCCCGCCCCGGCACCCTGGCGTCCTCGGTTCTCCTCGAGCTCACCCGCTCCCTGCACCCCCGCCGACAGCAGGTGGGCTGGAGCCCGCAGGGTGAGGCTGCCCTAGGGGGAAGGGGTCCCGCTAGGCGTCCTGCCCGCAGTCCAGCGGGGTCAGTGCTGCTGAGAAACTAGGAAATTTCTGCGCCAGAGCCCGCGGCGGCCGCGGCGGCAGCTGGTTTCCATGGCAAAAATAAAGTCGACAGAGAGACAGAGATGCAGCCAGAGGAGCACCGAGGTGAGAGACCCTCGGAGAGAAGCGGCGCGAGGAAGGTGCACGCAGGCACACACGGAGGAAGTGTTCCGCGGGGTCCCGGAGAGCGGGAGACGACAGACCAGCCCTCTAGGCGCAGACGCGCGAGCGCCCGGGCGCCGGGGACAAGCAGGGTCTTCCGAGACCACTGGCGAGAAGCAGAACGCGCCGAGAGCCCGAAAGCGCGCTCAGGGGGAGGGCGGGGGGACGCGGAGACCCGCGGACTGGGACGGACGGCGAGCGCCGCGGGGGCAGGACCCGAGGGAGGGACACGCGCACGCTAGAGCTGGAGAGCCACGGGCCTGCCAGACACACGCACGCCGCGCGCCCCTGAACGGGTGCGCCAGGGACCCCGCGTTGGCAGGGCCGAGGGGAGACGAGGCAGAGGGGGAAGCCGGAGACGCGCGCCGCCGGCGACACGGACCGTGACGGGCAGAGACCAGAGACGGCGCCTCAGAGGCCGCGGCGGGAGCCCGGCGCGGGGCTGCGAGGAAGGGCAGGACAGGCGGAGACAGGTGCTCACGGTGCCAAAGTGTGCTCGCTAGAGACGGCGCGGGAGCCCGAGCGGCCGGGACTGACGCGGGAGGGCGAGCCGGGAGCGCCAGAGGCGCAGCGGGAGGAGAGGAGACCCCGGCCCGAGCGGACGCCCAGCGCCCTGCGCTAGCGAGACCCTGGAAAACAGGGGCAGACGCGGGGTGGGGGTGGGGGACAAAGATTCAGCGAAAACGAGGAGACGCAGACACACACCCCGACAGAGACAGAAAAAGTGCGCTCGGGAGAGACACTTGGGGGACGGACAGGCGAGTGTAAACAAGCGGGGTGCACGGCGCGCGCATGCGCCAGCCGGAGAGCCCGCTGGAGAGGTCCCTCCGGAGACCCAAAGTCCGAAGCCCGGAGACCGGGCGGGAGCCGCGGCGACAGCGCCCGCACGTGTGCCAGCGGGAGAGACAGAGGGAGGGACTCAGAGACCCCAAGGGAGAGAGACCTAGAGACTCAGGGTTCTGGAAGCTGCCTGGGTGCTGCCTGGGGCCCCTGCGGCGGGGGAGGAGGCGGGGAGGGGTGGGCCGGAGGGGGTGTCTCGGGGAGGGACCCTGTCCTGTGGCGCTGCTGCCGGACGCGCAGGCGCCCCCCTCGGCAGGATGATTAACCCGGGCCGCGTGTCTCTGTCATCCCCAGCACAGGAGGTGAGAGCGGCTGGTGCGCCCCTTCGCCGCCCACCGGTCCCAGCTCCGAGCCTGCACCCTGTTGCCATGACGTCCACCTGCACCAACAACACGCGTGAAAGCAACAGCAGCCACACGTGCATGCCCCTCTCCAAAATGCCGATCAGCCTGGCTCACGGCATCATACGCTCGAGCGTGCTGCTCGTCTTCCTCACGGTCTCTTTCTTCGGCAACATCGTTCTGGCGCTAGTGTTGCAGCGCAAGCCGCAGCTGCTGCAGGTCACCAACCGCTTCATCTTTAACCTCCTCATCACTGACCTGCTGCAGGTTTCCCTCGTGGCCCCTTGGGTGGTGGCCACCTCCGTGCCTCTCTTCTGGCCCCTCAACAGCCACTTCTGCACCGCCCTGGTTAGCCTCACCCACCTGTTCGCCTTTGCCAGCGTCAACACCATCATCGTGGTGTCCGTTGATCGCTACCTGTCCATCATCCACCCTCTCTCCTACCCCGCCAAGATGACCCATCGCCGAGGTTACATGCTCCTCTATGGCACCTGGATCGTGGCCATCCTGCAGAGCACACCCCCACTGTACGGCTGGGGCCAGGCTGCCTTTGACGAGCGCAACGCCCTCTGCTCCATGATCTGGGGGTCCAGCCCCAGCTACACCATCCTCAGCGTGGTGTCCTTCATCGTTGTTCCACTAGTGGTCATGATTGCCTGCTACTCCGTGGTGTTCGGGGCTGCCCGGCGCCAGCACGCGCTGCTGCACTTCAAGAGCCACAGCCTGGAGGTGCGAGCCAAGGACCGCGCGGAGAACGGGGATGAAGGGAGACAGAAGGATGAGTTCCACGGTGAGAGCGAGATCCACGGCCAGGATGGAGGTGAGGTCAAGACCACGGACGACGGCCTGAAGAGTGAGGAAGGGAGCATCGAGGCCAAGGGCAGCGTGGAGGCCGGGGAAGGCAGCGTGGTGGCTAATGAAGGCTGCACAGAGGGGATGGAAAGTGGTGCTGGAATGGAAAGCCACGTGAAGGCAGACAAGGGCCGAGACGTCAACCAGTGCAACATTGACTTGGGCGAAGATGACTTGGAGTTTGGTGAGGATGAAGTCAATTTCAGTGAGTGTGACATCGAGGCAGTGAACATCCCAGAGAGCCTCCCAGCCAGTCGTCGAAACAGCAACAGCGACCTTCCTCTGCCCAGGTGCTACCAGTGCAAGGCTGCTAAAGTGATCTTCCTGATCATTTTCTCCTACGTGTTATCCCTGGGGCCCTACTGCTTGCTAGCGGTCCTGGCCGTGTGGGTAGATGTCCAAACCGAGGTACCCCAGTGGGTGATCACGATAATCATCTGGCTTTTCTTCCTGCAGTGCTGCATCCACCCCTACATCTATGGCTACATGCACAAGACCATCAAGAAGGAAATCCAGGATATGCTGAAGAAGTTCTTCTGCAAGAAAAAGCCCCCCAAAGAAGATAGCCACCCTGACCTGCCTGGAACAGAGGCCGGCACCGAAGGTGGTACTGAAGGCAAGATCGTCCCTTCTCATGATTCTGCCACTTTGCCTTGAGGCTATTTCCAAGGCAAACCCTGAACTGCCCACAGTCCAGAAAACAAGAGCAGCTTTCTTTTAATTGGATCACCCACACTCCCATCAGTGCTAATCCATACCATTCCAGGCAAACGTGTTGCTCACACATCTTTCTCACCACAAGGTAAATAACATATGGAAGAGGTAGGAACTGGGGGAGTCCCTTAAAAGGGTGCCCCTCAAAGTACAGACTTGAGGATTTTGACTGAGATTTCCCAAAAAGAAAAAATGATTTGGCTCTAAAGTTCTTAAAGCAACAAGGGCTTTCCATTTGGGACTGGCATTTGGCATTCTGTTTGTCTCCCCAGAGCTGCAGTGGGTCAGCTTTTGCTCTGGTGGAGAAGGAAGGTGATGCCTGTGAACTTAAGGACTTTTAGGCCTTTAAGTCAGGAACGCAAGGACAAAGGTTACAGCCTATGTTCAACTGAAAGAAAATCAATGGAGCAGATCATTCATGGAGCCCAAGAGACAGAGCCCGATGGACTGATCAACTTACGAGTCAGAGGCTAAATGGAGGAGACCCATGATCTGGTGCAAGGACTGTGCAGTTGACATTCCAAGAAGTTGTCTAGATTCCACTAAAGTGATCCAGAAAAGTGTAAGAGGGTATCAGGGCATGTTTGAAATGGACAGCTAGTCTAAGGAAGAAGATAAAGAATTAACACACATCCATGGGACTGAACAGTTGATTTATCTCTATAAAACCCTGGGTTTATATGTGGGCTGGAGCCAAGGTCATTCCATGCAAAAGGAAAATTGTCAATTGATGCTAAACTATTTTCTTTGTCCTATTTGAATAGTAGTGGGGCAGAAATCATGCCACTATTTTACAATTTTCCCTTTGTGATTGAATTAGGGTGGTCTTAAGAATCCCCCAAATCTCCTCTGCCAGGTGTGTGCATGTGTGTGTGTGTGCGCGCGCGTGCGTGTGTGTGTTTCCAAATAGGTCTTTTCGGTCAAACTATTTCCAGAAAAAAAGAAATTAAGCTAGGAGTGGCCAAAGGTCTACAAAGTCACACTGCCAGTCAAGAGCCATGAATCCATCTAAATCTCTTTGGTGTCAGTGAGATCATAGACATGAAATGTAAATATATGTGGGGAGCAAGGAAAGCAGGACCCACATTTTCCTTCTTCTGTGCTCACCCACGTGTCCCTTTTCTCCTTTGGCTCTTTCTGAAGCCTCCTAAAGCTCTCTGCTGTCATGAGCGAGAACTAGAAGAGGTATCAATGACAGGATGGTTTCTCAACACAGGTTTCTCAACACATTCAGAGTTTAGCCTCATTCTTGGTGGGGTCACCATGTCTCTATTAAAGCTCAAGTTTCAGTCATCTAAATACCCAACTCATTTATATTTTCTTGATTTCTTCCTCCTCACAGATTTCAGCGTGAACTTCTCAAGGGGGAAGGTAAACAGAACCACATTCCGAATTTAGGAAAGCAGTGTGGATAGACCCCTCAAAAAATTTAGCTGACCTGTCAACTTGGTATGGCCAGAAAATCTTATCAATTACAAGCCCATTAATTTGGTGGTGATTCAGACAAGACATCGGGGCTGAAGTTTATTGCGCTGCCATTTAGTTTTCTACCAAAATGCAGAAAAGTGGATAGTCATAAAATTATGATGACAATTTGTGGCAACTCTTGTATAAATCTCAAAGGATTTCTGGGTGCTGAAATGGCCTATGTGACCACCCCTCCTACTCGGGGAGGGACACTGTTTTGAAGAGATGTCACCCAGGAGTTCAAGGAAGCTGTAGCTTGTTCTTTGAGTCGAAATGTTTACGTGGGTAGGAGCAGGATTGCAAGCATAAGTGTCTCCAAATATTTTGTTGAAACTGAACTTCTTGTTTTATTTTTAAAGCTCAACCCCTTCACAGTGTATCAAAGAAAATTGTTTGCCAAAATCCCAAATCAAAATGGAACCAAGAAACCGTACGAGTGTGGTAAGTGCATTAAACAGCACACACGACATTCTCCAGGGCGCGGAAACTCACTGATTTCCTTTTTTAAAGTTCCTCTTTTCCTTATTTTAGTCATTGTCTATTCTTACGGCAAATTGGATTTTCAAAAGTGAAAACCTCAAAATAGGAGCTTGGAAAAGAGGACCTTTGAATTAAGAGCACTCTGCTTGCTGATATTTTCTTCTAGTTAGCTTGGAGATAGCAACTGCTTCAAATTATGTGCTACTTTGAATAAACCACTATCAACTTAATGAGGCTTTACTGCACATACTGTTTTGTCATTTGAAACTCTGAAAACACACACACAAAATGTCATCATTAGCCTCACAGATCCTCATGTGGAACAGCTTCCCCTAAATGTTTCTAAAGGATGAATTCTTTTGCCAAGGCTACTTCCTATGTGCAGTAAAAATCCCATTAAAGTGTAGGGGCTAGACAAACCAGACTTTGGAATGATGTGATTTCAAATTTAATGATTTCTTTATTTAAGAATAATAGAGCATCTAGTTTGCCAAGGAGTCGCAGGTGCTTTGACTAACACACCAATTTCAACAAGCTTGGGGAGGCAGTAACAAGGAACAAGCCCTAAATTTCAGTGATTTCTATGATTCGAGGGTCCATCTTCTCTAAGGCACCACGAATACCAGCTGCTGGGAACTCCTCCGCTCTCCCGGCTCCCTGCCTACCTCTTGCGGCCATGCCCACTGCCTTTGCCTGCCTCACTGCCCCACCCCTGCTGTGCTGGCCCTTGAGGATACCCTGTGCTCCGTGTTCACTCACTCCCATTCATGCCCTCCCACCCCAGAGCTGACAGATCTGCGGGGTCCATGGAAGCAGGGAAGCAGAGAAGTGAGCAGTAGGAATGGCCAAGCAGTGAAAGGTATTTCTCTGTCTCCTCCCCAACTCCAAACCAATTTAGAGATGACGGGATTCCTACTTCACGTTCAACAGGTAAGGAAAAGCGCCACATTATGATTTAGGAGGAGGCAGGCACCTCGTTTCTTACCAAGAGAGCACCCACTACAACACATCTTCGGGGGCACATTCAATCCTGTAGATACTGCCCAATTATTTCAGCAAAAAAAAAAAAAAAACTGAAAAAATCTTTTACTTATAAAATTATAAGGTGCCTAACATTGCCTTATTTTATACATAATTAGCCAATTAAGCTAGGTAAAGTTACTTCAAAAGATTTTTTTCATACTACCTGAAAAATAATTTACATGATGAAACTAGACTTTTTCTTAGACGTTGCCAAAATGCTCTTAAAAATGTCTGAAATACACAATTTTGAAGAGAAAAATTATGCAGAATCTGGTCATTTGAATTCCACGATCAACCTCTCAGAGGTTGCTGAGATGAAACAGAGAGTAAGACTCTAAACTACTAGACTGTATTTTTTGCTCATAGCTACCCTCCCCATATTTTGAGGGAAAAAAAATCCAAAAAAGTGTATTTCCCTCATAATGCCTTGCTTTGCTGTATTCCTCTCTAAGACAAACCCCACGCTGTCAGGAGAGGCCTAAGCAAAATGTCTTTTTCTTCTAGAACAGACAAAAGGTTAAAGCAACAGTTGGATGTGAGCCAGTTACCAAGATAAGGAGAGAAATTCTGGTCAGTCATGGCTTTTAACCCTCTCCCACCTTATGTCTGTCACATTTTCCATCGGCTGGACGGGTGCTCTTGGCCCCCTCCAAGCCCCTCCCAATTTAGGCATGAAGAGACAGAATCACTGAGCTGCAAATAGCAGACCATAGCCTAAAACTCAAAATGAAAAGAAACCCTTGTCATAAATTCCTTTCAGTAACTTCCACACGGCAAATGCCCAGCTCACTTACAGCAATCTTCTGCTATAAGCAAAAGTCTAGCTGAAGGACAAAATGATAGGAAAACTAAAATCCACAGGACTTGGCTTCCGATGGCCAGGTCACTGGCAAGTTCACTGCTCTTTGGTAAGTAGACTGAGAATCGTCAAGGCCAATGAAGGTTGCCAACAGGGGTTAGATATTCACATCATGGCTGCCCAAAGCTCTCCTATCTCAAAAGTACACACACCCAGGGGGAAATATAGTAACTTGGATGCTCACAAGAGGTTTGTATGTCTGAATTCCTTACGGGATCTCTCTTGTAAAATATAGGCAAAAACAGGACTGGTTTTAGTTTGGTGCTTCAGTGGTTGAGTGAATCCACCCCCTTCATCTGTGTTACAACTTAAATGTTAAAAACTTGGTATTTTTCCTGTTTCTGTGGTGTGTTCCTTTCTGTAGTAATTCTCAATGTAAGCTAAAACTGTATATAAAATGTAAGTGTTTTTGGAGACAAGGTGCTAGGTGTTAGGTTGTGTGTGTTCTGTAGGTGGTGTCATCCTCAAAAACAAGTAGTCTGTTCATGTGAAGTTAGTTAATTAAATGCATGCAGAATCCTATGTGATCCACACCTCAGTCAGTTCTGAAGTAGAACGTAGTACATTTGTTCTGTAAATTTTACTTTGTAACGTGTGAACTTCAAGATGTGCAAAGAGGCCTCCAAGGTGGGATGGCGGGAAGTGGTGCCTTTCGTTCCTTAAATCCCTGGTACAAGATATGATGAGGTGAAAAGTTCTTCTGGTACAACTGGCTGTTAATGTGAAGTCCTTGCTGGCAGTTCTCCACAACCTATGTGTGGCACTGGTTTGCCTGTTTTCCATTAATTGAATGTATAGAATGTAAAACAAGAGACAATCCTTTCCCCCCTTAAAGAGCAGAAACCCCAGGATAAGCTGTTGGAGGCCCGTGAGCAGGATGAATAGACACTCATACTCCCAAGGCCCACCCAGGACCTGACCGTGGACTGACAGGATTTGCTTTTCACAGATCTGTATCGTGACCATCGCTGCCCTCCTAGAGCAGTACCAAACCCGGACAAGGCTGCTCAGGTGTTTTTTTGTTTGATTGGTTGCCTGAGAGAGAGGATACAGCATGAATGTGTACATAGAGTTAGGGCGCCCCTTCTCTCGAGGTGGCGGTTAAGGTGTTTGA